GGGGGGATAGGAGAGAAACACCGACCGACGCTAGGGGAGGGGGAAACACCAACCAACACTGGGGGGGAGGAGGGAAGAGGCACCATCCGATGCTGGGGTCACGTAAAAATTTCCTCGACCAAAAAGGGGTCACGAGTGGAGAAAGTTGAAGAAGGCCTGCCTTAGATCTCATCCAGCAGATATCCAGTATTGAGGATGTAGGCACACTCACATGCTAGGAGGCTCACTGTCCTGAAAAATTAAAAAAATTAGTTTCGATACTGCCTAGGCACAACGGGCATTTCTAAAGTTTTCCAATAACATAGCAAATCTTCACTTTTTGAGTTCAGTTCCGTGTCCTCTTACTTCCTGTAACAGAGGAAGAGAGGTGAAGTATCTCCAAAGAAAGGGAAAATTCCCTCTGACGAAGAACAGTACCAGTAGTAATTTTAAAGATCAGTTAATTTTGGACAGCTGCTAATGGGGTAAATATTTTACTGGCTTTTTATAGGTCTAAGGGTCTCTTTTGGTAAGTTCCCAGCTCGTCTCATTTGTTGCGGCCTACATCATTTGGGGGGGCACATTTCCAAAACACAGTTGGTTATTCTGAAAGGAATATGTTGGTTATTCTGAAAGGCACATGTCACTGCTGGAGACCCCAGGTAACACAAATAGTCAGTGGGTAACTCCAGCCACCAGCACCCACCAATAAGATAAATACATATTTTGGGTGACTTTAGCCAGGGCTGGACAAATCCCAGGAGCCAGTCAATGCTCCTTAAAAATTAAAGAGGGCACCTAAAATTTGAGGGTTTTTTTTGTTGTAAAAAAATAAAATCCTCCTGAATGCCATATTAATTAGTCCGCCCCTGCCTTAAGCTATTCTTTCCCAGCATGTATTTTAGCAGAATATTCCGGAAGAATGGGAGAGGTCTTCTTTCCATGTAATGTGTCATGCTGTATGGTATGTTATTATCTACAGCACATGATTTCCCATGTGACAGTGCGTGTCTTGCACATGCTGTCGTGTACATACCACAACACTATTTTTAATACCGTTCATCCCAAGATAAACTTTAGTTTAATTAAAAAGCAGGAGGAGACACCGTTTCAACACTGAACTCCAGGCAAATGCTACCATTTAATCCAGTTAAATACTATTTAAACAAAAAAAATCAATTAATTTTTAGCAACAGATGGTATATTTACACAAATCCCTGTTTACAGTAGCTTCCTGCAGCTCAGACTGGTTGGCGGGGGGTGAAATCAATGAGACTTGCTTGCATTGAACATTACTGTCAATCTAATATTTGCTGATGGAAAGAAAATGTTATATGGGCAAAATCATATCCTCATCATTATGCTGATGCTCGGTCACTGTCCAATTTGACAAGCACCATAGCCTGCAGGAAGGTCCAAGACCTGGCTGTGCTTTGTATTAATCCCAACAGGCAGACAGGTAGAACAGGGACCAGCAAAGTCAAAAATCGAAATTGCTGGTTTCCGCCGCGTGGCTTTGCAATGTGGCAAAAGGGGAGCGATTCACAAGAATGGCCTAAGGTAATTACAGATCCTTTGGCAGGTAAGAAATCTGACTGCATATTTGGCTTTTCGCCCAGAGTTCCTCTTTACTCAGCCGGTACATCTTTAAACGATTTGCTGCAGTTTTGTCTCCATGTACTGAGGCTGCACACCAGGCAGGAGCATGTCTGACTGTGTACACATAATTGTGACTCAAGAACTAGGTCACCCAAGTTGATGCCTTCTCATGCGTCACAAAACGGTGGCTTCACAAACATTTGAATTTGTTAGTCCGGCCTGCTCACTGCGCTCACGACACATAGCAAAGTTTAACTCAATAATGCCTTAAAATGGATGAAGGGAATTAGGACAGATCTGTATGGGAAGCTGGCAGAAAAATAAGAAGGGTCCACCGAACAGTTGAGGAACATCAAGTACCAGCATGCCATGCACTGGCTCTACACAGGATTCAAGTAAACTGTACGGAGAGAAATAGGTAGGCTGCCATTGTTGCCTTCCTTCCAAACATGCTAGTTGGCTGGTTGACATTCTCAGACCCAGAACAAGCATGCACATTAAAAAATTACAGTGAAGCCAAGATTCTGAATCTACATCTTTACTACACGAGACTTGGCCATCACTTTACCCGGTTCTTCGAATCACTATAGACTGTCAACTGTCTATTACTGGACCAGGTGATACTGTCCCATCTATAGGTTCCCCTGATCATCAGTGGATCTCAACAATCTATAAACCTTGTTATGCCAGCGCTTGAATTCCAACGCCCAACAGGAGGAATCCCATTGTTTTAATGGCCCCTGTTCACATCTGAACATTCTGTCGAAGGTAGCCTGTAGCATGAAAAAGAACATGAGCTTCTTCTGGGGCAGAGTTGCATGCTTTGGCCCCAATAAACTCAAATGGGAGCGCCTAAAAAAATTATTTAAAAAAAGTTACGTTTCCTTGCTTAGTAACTAGCTTTCCATTGGTTAAAAAAAAATCAAAAAAACATTGAAAAAGAAAATAAAAATAAGCCAGAAAGTTGCTCTGCTAAAGTGTGAATGGGGCCTCAAAGCAAATAACTAGCCTGAGATCATGGTGCAATTTGATGCAACTATAGAATCTCAAAAAGTTGCGTTTTTGCCGACTGAAGAAATAAAAAAAAATTGTAGCCAATAAGAGGTCTATGTTGCAGAGATTGCAGCAATTTGCCGCTTGCTGAGTGACTGATGCAGAGTGTCAAGCAAGCTATAGACTCGCCGGCATCAGCAGCTTCCTGATTTTATCCAACCCAGCCACTGATGGCCGAGGCACACCAATGACTCAAAGCTGCATAGACCAGCACTGTCATTAGCTACAGCAGCAACCCCATAGAAGATACAAATCAAAAGAGAAAATAACCAGAAAAATCGCTATCCGCTATAAATCTCTGCTACATAAGCTGCCATAATGACGCGGCCCTTACGGGCAACACTTTGTTCAAACTGTCCCCTGAAGCCTTGACTCTACCCCACTAGTGTCAGAGCAGTGTTATCTGTGTAAAAGAGACGATTGCCCCATTTTTGTTTCCAGGAAACAAAAACAAAAAAGAATGGAGTCGCTTATGTAGTATATTTATGGCTTGAACAAAGAAAACTTTACTTTTTTCAACCTTTGAATATAAATTTAGATCCATCTCTTGCTCTAAAATAAAGTAAAATGTTAAAGGAAGCATCGGTCCAAATGGCAGCTCTGACATTCACTGTCTGCAGCAAGTCAGGAGGACTGAAATTCCAGCAGCGTAGAACACGCTTTACCCTTTGGAATTCTGCTGCAAAACAACCCAATAACAAAAACCGACATAACAAACACTAATCAGCCGCATATTGCAAGAAGCACCATGCTAAGTATCCTACAGCTATAAATAGATCGCTGGAAGTGCCTGTTATTTTAAGTGATCGTCAAGTGGCAAGCGATGAAAAACATTAACACTTCTCGATCACAGAAACACAACTGTTACACAGATGCAGGAACATATTACAATAAAGAAAGGCACAATAAAGTCCAAAAAGCATCACGCTAGACACAGCCGATGCATTGACATATGGAGAAGGGACTCCATACACAAAGTGCAGTAAACAAATCAATTAGAAATGTAAACACAAGAAGAGAGCCAATATAAACCATCTTACACTTATCAAACCATAATGCAAACCCAAATTATGCCTTGAAGGCCAAAATCACTTGTGATGGCAGTGTACGCAAAGCCAACATATTTTTTTTTTTTTTAAGGTCTGGAGAGAGTAGACAGCACCCTATTTATAAGTGTTGGTGACCACTGTCACCGGGACGGAAAAAAGAACCACAAGCCTCAATTTTTCATTTGCCACTGTGTCAGAAATGGAGGGGAAATCTTTCAAAAGGGACCACTTGTTCTTGCAACTGTTTGACTGATTTTTCCATCATGTCCCCTCACCAAAAGTGAACCTAATGATCAACTCCTTTAGAGGGACCACCAACTGATTGGATTTCAGCCAGTTGTCTCCCTTACCTTGAAGAGATCTCCTTACTTGAAGTGACCCTAAACTCAGGACTTAAATCTTAAAAATGCATTCAAGTACCCTAACTATTAACAAAAATGTATCGTATTTGTGTATCACTTGGCTGTAGATCCTCAAATCATGTAAATGTACACACCGCACTGGGTGCACAAATTATCACTAAAAAGCTGCATGTGTGGAGAGCAGCTTTAATGTATAAAAATATTACCTTCAGCATGCCGACTCCGACATATAACTCTCGGTTTCCAGGGAGTTAGCGATGCGATTTGTATTTTTAAAAATGTTTCCTTGGTCTTTTCCAAATTAGTCAAAAGTGATTTCATGTCTGTGGCAACCTTAAAACAAACCCGTCTTAATGGAAGTCCAAGGGCTACCATCACTTACCACTTGGTTATTAGGCCAACTCCAGATTTCATAGTTTCCAAGTCCCTGACCCAGCACTAGTACACAGATCAGAACTGTCCAAGAAAAGTCTTTATCTGCATATTAGCTTTAAGTCGGTGACTAAAAACCAAAACCAACAGATCAACTTAACAGCCAGACCACCTAGCACTTTTAGAAAGTGGAGTTGGATTAGCGGAGAGATCGTCCATGTTTCTTACTCAAGTTGCTCTTAACACAGTTGCCAACAATTATGAAAACTGCAATGAGATTCAACAAGTCCAAAAAGCATCACTAAAACAGGATGTGATAGATAAAAGGATACAACACATAACAGAAAACTGATGTTACAAGTATCCAAATACAAGAAAAAAAATGGCCGTCTTCTCACCATTACCTTGGCATACTTGTTCTGCAAGAAGCCACAATCTAGTCCTGTCCCCCCCACATATTATTATTGTACGATACATGAAAGATTAACAAATCGCAAACCTCCTTCGTGTTCAAAGCCAATTTAAGGAGACTTGCAATGGTCATCACAGTACAAGTGTCACTATCAGCCCTTACTAAAACTTAAGACGTTTTAAAGATTGTCATCTAGATAATATTTCAAGAGTGAAAACGTTTAATTTCAATAAGGCCCCTTATTTTGCAAGCTGAGAATTGCCCGCCCAATCAGCAGCCTGCAAATGGGGTTAAAACAAGCTATGATTGAGAAAAAAAAAAAAGTAAATAGTTTACTGCGCACACAAAAAAAAAAAATCAAAAAACATAAAAATCTATATTGGATAGTGAACGTTAGGACAGAGATTTCCCAGATCCTTGTTGAAAATTCTAAGACGACCTCCATGTGTCCACCTAACGCCCTCTCCGTTTAACTGTCTTACCTTCTTCAGGATAACTTTATCTTTCTTTCTGTTCCAGGATTTAGAGGAATATTTTTCACAGGGCTGGCTCTTGTCTTTGGGTTTGTTTATAAGGCTCTGCAGGATCATGGTGAAATAATTCTTCATGTATAGGTCCAGTTGTTATAGATATACATTTACAAAAGATTCCAAACCAAAAAAGCAGCAGTCCTGAGACAGAACTTGTACTGCGATCCTCCTGCCTCTTAGGCTGCTGGTTTCTGGCTCCGACTACAGCTTTGCACGCTGATAAGGAGCACGGAGGACAAAAAGCAGGCCATGGATATGACAGCTTGATGATACCGTGGATTACGGTTCGCCTAATTAGGCAAACAAGTGCTAGCAGAGATGCATTGTGCAAAGTACATTGCTTGGCCCAGACAACACATGGGGTGGAATGTCATCCAAAAACAAAAAGGACCTGCGATGTTTACTAGCTTATAAATAGCACAAGGCCACAACAAAACAGGGACTGGTAGGAGTGCTGGAACTGTCCTAGATTTTTTGAAGGTTCATTTTAATAAAAGGCTTGATGGGCAAATATTGATTTAAGCCTAGTAGCATGTCTACCTGTGATTCTGGACAATCAGTTTGTGGTCCAGGTAGCCCTTACTAGGTAGTATAACCAGGTCCTAGACCCCTACTGCAGCACTGCTTGTCGAGTTAGCTGACTGGCAGTGTGCCCAATAAAGAATCCGCAGCAAACTGATGCCATCCCCCTGCATGAAAAAGAAACCTAATGGCTGCTAACAGGTGCCACTTCCTTCCCGAGTGCTGCTGCACAAGACCTTATTGGAGGCCAATATAAGGACAAACTCTAGTTAAACTAGCCTTAATAACAAAATGTTTTGTAATACATACTTTATTGAATTAATATTTGGTCTTTAGATCCTGCTGGAGTGCAGTGTTAGGCTAGGTTCACACCATTTTCCGGACAAGATCTGGAACACGATGCATTGCGTATTGCTGTGTTTTTGCAACATTCAGGAGCGGGGGCTTGGTTTTTTTAGCTTAAAATGGGCTTTCAGGTGCGGTCCAGTGCATTTGCATGCATATTTGATGCATATCCATGCATTCCAGACCAAAGAAAATCAGACAAGCAGTATTTGTTTTTTTTTGTCTGGTCCGGAACGGACTGCGCTGGTGTGAACAGAGCCCAGAAATGCCATAGGGATACACCGGGATGCCATTTTGGTCCGGAAACAAACTGTTGTGGGCTGGACATGGTGAGAACAAGCCTTTAATCAACATTCTACTTTTCTATCAGACTGGAGTTCTTCTAGTTCAGGTCCAGGGAAATATAAACACCCCCATAAGTGCTTATGTTCGTCAAATGGCATTAAAAATGTTTAACAAGGTAACCAAAAAGTAGCTCAGGGAGGGGTTCAGCTACATCAAACTAGTAGACAAAGCATAGCTTAGTATGTCAGATAAAGTATGGAAGATGGATTTTTACTGCTGTCTATGTAAATTCTGAGCATATTCACCTTCTCCATCTCATCTTCAATTTTTTATTTATTTCAACGGTCTGTAAGAGTAATACAGAGGTGAAAAAAATTATTGCCGAACTCAGGAGCCAGTCTGTCCAATCCAGGAGGCAACATTTTCTATTTTTTTTTAGGCACCAGCTCCATTGCCAAAAACTAGACAAAACCTCAAAAGCTAGGAGCCATCTGTAATTTTTAAGAAGGCTACCTGGTTACTCGGATTTGTCCAGCCCTGCAGTAATAGATGGGAAACCTTCCAATGGGTACACTTGTTACCTAGCTACTCGGAGTTGTCCAGCCCTACAGTAATAGATGGGAAATGTTCCAATGGGACAAATGTTTCGGATTTAATTTAATGCCACTGCAGATATATATCCTCTGAATTTGTCCTGGTGAGCATTTGTCTTCAGGAGTAAAAGTGAGCAACAAAAAAACTACATTTTGAATTTGTCACGGGCACAGAGGGGGGATTGTCCAATGGTGACCAATTGTTTTGGCACCAACAAGCGGGGATGATCCTTTCTTTAAAGTTGCATCAATGAGACAAACAGCAGACAATACAAGGGGTTTTAAACCTACCATGCTCTATTACAAACAAAATGGCAATAAAGCCCCGGTTCTGCAGAACGGTATGTTGCACAAAATGTTGTCACCCTAAATGCCAAATTTAAAGAACAGTAGGGGTGAATGACTCAAGGTTTTATTCAATCATTCTATAAATCATTTGCCAGGTAATCAAATCATATAGAAGCATTTTAATCAGATATTTAATTCAAATACCACTACAGCTTTTCCTTTAATAATTTTCCCTGGAACCCTTGAACTCAGGGTGTGCCACTGCCATACTATACTATGTACCCGGGGGGGGGGGGCTTAAAAAGATGAAAAAGATGCATGCAATGCCCGTCCTTCACTCGTTTTCTTGGCTCTTCGGGCCTGAAAACATGAAAGATTTCATAACACATAATAGGAGGGTGTGTAGATGAACGCTATCAGCACAGCTGTGAAAACATTCAGAGCTTTCTGCTGACTTCGGGGACCAGTACTCCAATCTGACCTCAGGTACAGATGTATATCTGGTATTGGCTGGTAGATCTCAGTATATTTCCCCTCTGCATTCAATAGCATGACTGCACTAGACAATAATGCGATGAGACAGCTCCAGGAAGGAAGAGGGGAGGTGTGGCACTGCGGCCTAACAAAACATTCAGCCTTTGTGTCGAGAATCTATAGATTCTGCTTGAGACTATTGCTGCGACGCTCGGACATTATTTTTAAAGACATATCTGTATAACCCTTTACCTGGACAATGTGCTCATTAGCTCGTACTTTGCTTGACGATTCATAATACTATTAATATTTCCCTCTTCAGGGAAGCTAAATACACAGCTGAAATCTATACAAGGCAATGGATTCAGAAGTCAAACAAAACAATCAATTCTGAACAATATGCAACCAGATATTCCATGCATGGCATCTTTCATCTGAGACTTTGCATGCATTTTGTTTAATGACAGATGCCCTTAAAAATCAGTTTTTGTGGAAACTTAAAGTTTAATATTTTCATGCTTCCTTGTTCCTCTTGATGGGGAACTGCACACATGGAGGAGTAGGAACACAAGTTGTCTTATTTGGGGATTTTAGACAGCTATAGAAACCTGTGACAATGGCCAAAATGTAATGCTGAGCCAAGGAGTTGAAATTTTTGTTTCAATTTCTGCCTGTGTCCCCATTGGAGAGGCTTCCCTTTATTTCCCATCTCTGTTTCCCCTATAGGAAAAAAATTGAGGTGTTTGGGCATCACCAGGAGAAATAAAGAAGAAGTTCTAACCCTTCCTCACTTTATTAGCACATGTGCCTGTGAACCCCCACTACAAAGATTTTGCATCACTTTCTGTATTGAGATGAATAAGGTAAAATCTCCCCAATAAACATCTGAGGTTCAAACTTTTGACCATTTAATTTTAAACAAAATAAAGTTTTGGTTTGCGTTGGACTTTAATGCTTAAGATTCCCGCAATAATTGTATCTTCTACTTACTCCCAAGGGGTTCCAAGCTGCTCAACAGGTAACCAAGTTCAAAACTGGCCTTATAGACTAGAGACCTAAGCCATCGTTGACCGCAGGGTGACCATTTTGCTTACACAACTAATAAGCCTTAAACAAGCTGTTATATACAGTGTCTTACATAACGACCGGTAGAGGATATCTGAGAAGCAAAATGATAAGGTGCTAATTTCGGATCAATAATCTGCTTCATCAGTTATTATAATTACAAGAACCTTTGTGTGGGCCGTTTTTTTTATTGTCAGACATTAAACAGAAGCAGAAGAGGCAAATCCAGATTAGCCATTTCATAACACAGACATATTGTTTAGTTTAAGGATGGAAAAAAATCATAGGGATACAGAGTTCCTTCACTGATGCATATAACCTGCACTTGACCCAAGCAGCATCAAGCGCTTTGAAGCTTTTGCATTTCCATTGACTTGTATAGCAGAGATTTTCTATCTGCTGGGGGTTTTTTTTGTATTCCGACAGCTGCTGCCGTCAGAATAAAAAAATAAAAAACAAAAACAAAAGAAACACAGCATAGGAATAAATAGCTAGATTGCTATTGGCTATTGCACCCGCCCTCTGATGCTGTCAATCAGATGGAGAACTTCAGGTCCACCTCTGCTGACTGACAGCAGCAGGGGGCGGGTGCAACAGCTAGTCTGCTATTGGCTATTGCAAATTGAAATAGCTAATAGAAACCTAGCTATTCATTCCTAGGCTGTTTTTTTTTCCTCTGACTGACGGCGGCCCTGATGTCAGAAAAAAAAACAACAGATAGCAGGGAAAGGTTTGCTCTGGTAGCTAGAGCAGAGTAAACCTTTCCGGGAGAAAATGTTTCTCTCTCCCGGGCGGCTGGGAGCCGCTATCTAATAGCGAGATACTCCCGGAAGTTGGGAAGCCTAGTATAGGGAGTGCCTACATAAAACAAAAGGCCAAGTAGAGCCTTGGTTAAAAAAAAAACAAAAACATATATATATCTTCTGAGGTATTTTTCTTGGCAAACTCCCTGTGCCAAAATGCACTATGCTCGGCTCCTTTTGCCAAAAAACAAACAAGGGGCCCAGAGCTGCTGATTTCATTTTGGCAAACAGCGACTAGAAGAGAATTTCTATGGCATCAGCGGTTAAACTGCAAATGGAACGGAGCTCGCAGAGGCTATTGAGACCAGTTACATATCCATTATTTATTAGGTTTGTCCTGCAAATGACATATACACACACATATATATATAATCATTATAGCCCAGGATGGATTGTCTTCTCTTCCCCAATGTGTTATTGGCCAATGGGCAAACAAAAACAAAAAAACAATAAATTAGATGTTTGCATCCAACCAGACCACCATCGTAGGTATATGGTATGGTTTGGAGAATTGTTCATGACCAACCCATCCATTAGGCACCTCAAAAAATAAATAAGAAATAAAATCCCAGCACACTGAGATAATTGAATTAGCATTATACAAGAGCTAAAGGTTCTAATAATAATTTGCTGTTATAATGCTGCTTAGCTATGGCTAATGCGCCATTGCTGCAGAACTTCTGCCTGCGCTTCTCGCCGGGGT